GTCTCTGTATTTTGTTTTTGCAATTTTCGAAAATAAAACAATAAGCAGTGGGCTTATGTTGGTGCATTCATGTTGTAAATTCGAATCTCTTCCTGATAATAGTTTTCTTATTGGTGTGATTTAAGAAATTGTTACGATTACTTTTATTAGTATCATTCTTAATTTTCTTTCATTTTCTGTGTAAGAAACTTTTATGAGGTAATTATGTTAAAAATGAGCACGAAATTAATATTTCATTTTTCATAATTGCTAGGATTCTTTTGACCGTTTCGATCCTTATTTTGTCTTTAAATATTTTTGCTGAGCCTGACAATTTTCATGTGTTTGAGTATTACAGGGTTGACAGCAAAAGAAATGGAAGAGCTTCATGAGGACATAAAAATGCATCTGGATTTAGAGAGGGCAACACAGCACATATACAGTATTGGTAGGTAATCTCTTTTTCTTTTGTCTATTTATGTGTTTCGGCTCGTTTTGGTCCTTTTTGGCTCATTGTGGATCCATCTTACAATATCGTGAACGTCAAAATACCTGATGTCGTGCAAGAATGCTTCCTGAAATTTGCAAATGTTACATGAGACTCATTCCTTTTCGGAAAGAAGGATAGCCATCGTTGTTAAAAGGGAACTCTGGTTTCCGGTGTCGTGTAGTTGTCTGATACCATCGCATCTAGTTAAGGCATTGCACATACTTTCTGCATGATTTTTAGATAGTATATCTTTGATTACCTGGCTGTCCTGCAAAATATAATTCCGAAAAGGTCAGTGGGTTTGTGGAGCAAGCTGTTGGATACAATTGTACTTTAATCTTTTGTTTACAGTTTGCATTAAAGCAAGTTGATCTGCAGTTGAGCAAATAATGTAGCCAAGACTGCTGCTATGTATATTGGCTGTGAACTGTTTCTTTGGACAGCTAAAGGAGTCCAAATAGGCAAAGAAGGGAAAATTTTCCAGCAGTGGACAAGTTTTTATAAGCCAAAAAGCAGTCTGTCTTTCCAGGTTCTTGATTAGTCATTCATATACTCATACATACATATAACGGATTACAAGGAGGAAATGATTGACCATAATTTCACTCAGGCAAGAATGGCTTATACTTAAAAGAGATTGATCCCCAGCCTCCCTAAGGACAGTTTATAATTCATTGGACTAACTCATAGTCTATACACAATTTTTTCTTGATATCTAACTCTTAAATTAGATGCAGAATAAGAATCAAAACATAAAAAATCCTCAAAAAACACTAAACAGGGCTGCATATAACTCTTCCTAGTGGGGCTATATCAGTCTCCCTTGGTTGTAGAAAAATCAATTTTGAGGTTGTCTTTTTGTCTTATGCAATTCGTGAAGTTGAAAATTCAAGCAGCCATTGCCATTACATTTTTTTCGATCATTTCTTTCGTAATGCCTTACTACTGTTTGCCAAAATAAAGAACATAAATCCTGGGCCATGTTTGGTTTGCGTCTGCAAAACAGTTTTTTGTTCTCAAAATTTTAAAAACACCCAAAACCTGTTTGTTTAGCATTTTTGTTCTCTAAATTTTGGGAAAAAAATGAGATTTGAGTCAAAGAAACAGAAAACAAGTTTAGTTTGTTTTTAGAGTTTTTTTTGAAAATTTTGGAACTAAGGAGAACAATACGTATATATTTAAATATACATGTTTTTATATGTATAATATATATTATATATATATTTATATGTTTTTATATGTGTATATATATATATTTATATTTATAAAATAGTATATGTTTTTATGTATATAAAATATATATATATATATATATTATATTTATATAATATAGTTTTATATATATATATACATGTATAATATATATATATTAGTCATAATCCGTGCCTAAAGGCACGATAAAATATAAAATTCGAGCGTTCAAAAAATCGATTCCACTATATTAAATTTTTTCAAAATATATTAATTATAAATTAATTAAATATTAAATGATTAAATATATGATAGAAATGAGTTGTGTGATATTTTTAGGGAGGAAATATATAAATGATTAAATATGTGATAGAAATGAGTGATGTGACTTGACATTTGAGTCTGACAAATGGATGATGGTAAGAAAAATGATTGGTGATGATTTTAAGGGAAAAAATATGACTGGGATAAAATTCAAACACATTCCTGTTCTCAAACGTCTCCACATCTACAAGGCAAAGGTACATCGTTTACTCTTCTCGAGTTCCTTTGTATTTATGTTCTCTTGAGTTGGATCTCAACACCTAATTTATATAATTACAGGCTTGTCTGAAGGAAATTCATGCAAAAATGTTGCGGAAGCATTTGGAACGCCTCGAGCAACAGATGGGAAGCCAAGATACTTTGGAAGAGGATCAGGATTCAAGGCCTATAGAGGACGAGTCTGATCAGGGTATGGATTTTTTTCATAGCTGGTGTGTTTTTGTACTTTGGCATAAGGAATGGTAAGCTAATAGTCCTTCTGCACAGATGCTCAAGCTCTCTCTCCAGAACCCATATTGGATGAAGAGTTTCATGAGGAAGAAGAGGAGGCTGGATCATTTTTGCCAGAGCTGTTGCATGGTAATGAAAATGATGAAGCAATTGACCCCAAGGAGGACAGGGCTATACTGGTAACTTGCCTGTAGATGTCATCTTTTGTCACTCATTGACTGATTTTATATGGAAAAATATGCTAAACCTGTACGTATATTATGGTGCCTAACAGGAAAGGAAACGTATAGCTGTTTTGGAAGAACAACAAAGGCGAATCCAAGAAGCAATGGCTTCAAGGCCAACTCCATCTGAAGATGACTTGGAGATGAAAGCCATGAAAGCTATGGGAGCCATGGAAGTAGGCGATGCAGTATTTGGCTCGAGTGATGAAGTAAACCTTGATTAACAGGTATCCCATATTTGGTCTGCTTCCCCTATTATTGCTTCTGGATAACAGAGTATTTTTCACACAAGCACCATTAATGTGGATGCAGGTGTACTGGTGGCATGACAAATACCGCCCCAGGAAGCCAAAGTACTTTAACCGTGTTCACACTGGGTATGAGTGGAACAAGTACAATCAAACTCACTCTGACCATGACAATCCACCTCCAAATATCATGCAAGGGTACAAATTCAATATTTTCTACCTGGATCTTGTCGACAAAACAAAAGCTCTTAGTTTTACCATAGAGAAGGATGGAGCTAGTGCTGAGACTCGCATTAAGGTTTCATGCGGGCCCTCCTAATGAGGACATCGTAAGTTGTCTTAGTCTATTAGCTGATTTTTTGGTTGAATTTTTTTACTTGAAAAACGAAGTGACTCTGTTTCTTGCCATCTTAATATAGGCATTCCGAGTTGTGAACAAAGAATGGGAATATTCTCACAAGAAGGGATTCAAGTGCACGTTTGAACGAGGAATCTTACGTGTATATTTCAACTTCAAACGCTACCAGTACCGTCGGTGATATGATAGGGCACGAGACATGCGGTTCCTGGGTCGTCAACTATGCTTTGGCATCATTCTTCCATTGGCACAAACTGGGGTACTAGAAAAGATTACTAAAGCCCAATGAAGGTGCTTTGAACCAAGTCATCGTGGTCTATTTTCACGAATGGTTCTACTAATACATAATCAGTTATTTGCAGCCTTGGACTGGACTCCTATCCTATCCTACCTCTCCTAGTATGGTTCAACTAATACATAGTCATTTATTTGCAGCCTTGGACTGGACTTCCTACCCCTCCATGTAAGTTTGTCTTTCGCGTTCATGTCTCGTATTCATGGTTGGAAGTCTAGGCTGGACTTCTTAGGTCTCTGTGAAGTTTTCTGTAGACCGCTATATTCTCATCTAGAACATGGATGCCCTCAAGTACTCATTATGGACGCGCGCCTAAGAGTCTAGATCATTAGCCATCGATTTTAACTGACTCAATATTCCATATAAAACTTGAACTTCAAATTTTAAACCCATTGATGTAGAGTTCATTCCTTGAATGTTAATGTTAGAGTATTTTAAACAAATCCTTGAATGTTAATGTTAGAGTATTTTAAACAAAAGAGTGTTTTTTATGTGAGAATTTAATCCCACGTCAATTAAACTTTTAAAACTACTTGAGTATGTATATATGTTAGTATTATCTAGACTTTGAGTTAAAGTGAGACTTTGAGATTCTCACATGTGCAAGGGTGGGACAAGTGGAGGAGACTAATGTTTACAAAACACATTGACCAGTTTAGTCTACAGCGGGGTAGCGGGTCCCCTTGGCTCGCCTAAATTGAAAAAAAAATATTAATTAGTATTAAATTTATTTTTTAATATTTTATTTAATTATTTTTTGTCATAATTCTTCTATTAAAATTTCAATTTTTGAATATTCCAAAAGTTCTAACGGTTAATTATTCAAAAATTATTTTTTTTTATTTAATTTTAATAGTTATTATCGAATTATATATGGGAGTAATTATGAAATATTAAAAACCTATATTTTTTGTATATATATTTACATAGTTCATTATAGAAATGCACAATCTGAATATCTATTATATTCTCCTCTATTGCATAAGTTTTTGAGCAAAAATTAATAGGTGTCGTGTGAAGCTTCTGTTGTATTCGATTGTATAGATTTGTGTGAAGTAACAGTCAATTGACTGAATTATTTGTATCCTGGGATGACGTTTTGTTACCTTCTACACTGTGTTTTTTTTCATAAAAGAGCGTCAATCATCTTAAGAAATTAACTTAGTCTGTACACTTTATCTTTCGGATTCTATTTTGTCCTACAGTTAAGGACTTTCTTTCACTCCTTTTTCATTCGGGTAAAGGATTTCTAGATATCTACATGGTTGTTGATGCTCCCCTGCTTATTCATAGGCTTGTAGTCTTTCATTTAAAAGACATTCTTCCCACCACAAACATATGATGTAGTTCTGATCTTAATCTTTGCGCTATTATTAAGTTAGAAGCTCTATCAAATAAGATTATGACTTGTTGAACACATGAATATTGCTATGAATATAAATTCTTTACAAGATCTTACTTTTAATTTCCATCCAAGAAAACAAAATCAAAGGGCCACACACTTCAATGTAAGAATTATATGTGATGATGAACAAAACGGTCCTATGCAAGTAAAGACACTAGTCCTTCAGGGAGGATAGTTATAAAAAGATAAGTACAATCAAAGACTGTCTTAATTTTTGAGAATGGGTATCCCAATTATTGTTCTCAACGTGCTTTAATTTTCTTGGACTCTTTGGGCCTTAGGCTGGGTCGAATTTACGAACAAGGCTTGATCTGTCTTTTAGCTGATTTGGATTTACTTGATTTAGTGGGTCTGATCCAATAAAATCTGGACTCATCAATATGTATACTAGTGATAATCTCGTGCCTGAAAATACGTAATAACAAAAATTGAATATTAATCTTGTAATATTTATATTTTAAATAGCAATTTAGTTTTTTTTAATTACACAATTTAAAATTAAAATGAAGAGAGAGGTGGGTGTGAATTGATGAGACTGCTTGACATTAGGGACTATGTTGATGTATTGATTGAGTTATCTGACATTAGAGCAATGCAGAAAAGTTAATGTTTTTGGGAGGGAAAAAACGTTTTAGGATAAATTTTGTACCATTAGATTAAAGTAGATGAAAATTGGATCCATCTTGACCATTGTTATATTTTGATAAGACTAACTCTAATATTAGATAGATATTCCATTCTTTCCATTTTTCGACAACTAACCAATGGGGCTTAGATGTAATGGTACTTCTTACCTTGTGAATGTTTTGTTTTCTTGAGATTAAAGATTTAAGCCCCTTCTCCCTCCCCTCCAAAAAAAATAAATAAACACAAATTCGACAACTAAATAAACCCAATTCAGATCCAGAACCCCCAAACAGACACATAAACCAGACTGTACAGATGAACTTCTGTATAAACTCATCTACACACTGACTAAGGTGGTGCGCAGGATGATTTCAAAACGTAGTTATTGATCATAAGCACTTCAAACCAAAAAGATAAAAAAAAAAAAGTAATTTTTGGGTTGACTCGTTTACATGACTTTTTAGTAAGTATAATAATTACTTTCACCACTTAAAATAAGTTCATGAGTAGAAGTCAAAAGATGGGGGTTTGCCTTTTACCTTCATTGAGGAGTAACTGAAAGCTGAAAGAATGTGATTAACACGATTCCGTTAATACGATACGAAGTTAGAGAATTTGAGTTTTTTTTAAAGTTATCGGTTTCGTAAACGAGTAGACCTGACATGATACTATTAATAAACGAATTAGGTATGAGTAAAATTAATGAAAAAAAATACACATAACTTGTTTATACACTAGTAATTACTCGTGCCTGAAAGCACGACATAACAAAAAATTAAATTCAAATTTGAAAAATACTACATTACCTAAAGACTCTTTGCAACAAAAAATAACCTGTCAATTTGAAATCAAAGTAGTTTATACTATTATCCAAAAATTTTGACAAAATTTTCTCTAAAAATAAGAACCCATAAAAATTTAAAATTGTCTACAGAACTTATAATCATACATAACAATCATTCCCAATCATAATTTACCATACCACCACAACCCGTGCCTGAAGGCACTGTATAATACAAAGAAAATTGAGCATTAGTTGTATCAAGAATTTAAAATCAACCTAAGGCCACTATTTTTTTTTAAAAAAAAATGGCAAAATTCCCTCTAAAAATAGTACACAAAAAAAAATACACAATTTATATATTTTGTACTCGTATCCAAAAATCTGTAGTTAACTTCAACTCCGAAATGTGAATAAAATTGAAAGTTATTATTTATACATTTATATATTACCAGATTAAAGTAAATGAGATTCATATCAATCTAATGATAGAGATAACAAATAAAACTTAACTACTATGAGAAATCACATCTTAGTCACATTATTCACACACATAAAACTGGAATGCTCATAAAGATGTTGGTATCAATATTATAAGCTTGTTGAAATGGGTTTCAAGCTACTAAAATATATATATATATATATATAAAAAAAACCAAATTTTATTCCATTCTAAAAAAATTACAAAGAATTAAGAGCAGACATGCCTGCTTTTTACAACCTCCACAACAAAACATGTACACAAGAAGAGACAAAATAACAAACAAGCCAAAAACATGTCTTTAATTTGAAATCCACAGCAGGCCTTCTAAACACATCCAGAAACCACCCTACACGATGCACAGCCTCACACTTAGCCCTTATCATCAAACAGTTTCTTAACCCAAAGCGCAGGTAAACCTTTCTGATCCTGTAGCAGAGCCATCTTTACTGCTAAAGGAAGCTGCCTTCCTACAGAGAAATCCGAAGAAGCACCATCCAACACAGCACAATTTGCCAAACCGTCTTCTACTCCATTAGCTTCCCTGTAAACATGTCTCAGCTGAAAATTCGTCTGACCAAACAGCCCCTTTATTTTTTAAAGGAAACCACAATAAGGCCAAGCACAATTAGCATCTCCCTTCACCGTAGAAACCAAGACCAAAGAATCAGATTCTATCTCAATCTGATTACCAATAAAACCATGCAATTTAAGAAGCTCCAAACCATTCAAAAGGGCTCTAAATTCCGCCTCCATACTGGTACCGTTACAATAGAAAAAAGAACGTGCTAATACCATTCCACCCCATTCATCAAGCTACTAAAAAAATATAGCAACACAACCACTACTCAGTTCTATCAATCATTCAAAGATTTAAAAAACCTTGACAGAACGACAAAAAAAATACATCAAAATTTTATGAAAAAAGTGAGTTTTAAATCGAGAGTAAAACGACAGCATACAATTTTGTGATTGAAAAAACTAATGTGAATAGTTCGTTGTCGATCCCGCTCTTATCTCTACATCAGTGTGTCGAACATATCAAAATTAATATCAATAGTATGCCTGATATGCATTGATTTCCATGACAACAATATTCCATTCCTACATGTACATATTCATTCACATTCAAAGCAAAAGAAAGCATTCTCCTTCTCACACCCACTATTCAATTACATCTTGAATTGTTGTCTGTGGCCAAACAACAATCAGTAAGAGCTAAAACACATGCCCAAAATTATGTT